AAAAAAAACAAAATTTGAATCAAGTACAATAGTACATGCACTATAAAAAAATATCTGATAATGAAAACATGCCTGGCAGCTTTTTGTGGCAAGGCAACTAGCTCAATCGGACAAGCAAGATAAAATGTTTACTTGCCCGTCATGATATACACTTGCCCCGGGGAAGTGTTAAGTTTATTAATACACCTCTGTATAAATGGGTGGTTTAGATTAAAATGTCAATATGACCTGTTGTGTGGCAACTTGATTCATGGACGTGTACTGGAGACAGTTAAACTCCTTAGTTTGCTTGTTCAAACTTATGAATACATTTAGTTACACCACCTGCATGATCTGCTTAATGATATATGTAACGACCTTTGGGCTACATTTTATATATTTTACAGACACCCTGGCAAGGGTATTGAGCTTTTTTTTTAATTATACCCATTTCATTTGAACGAGCCCAATTTTCAGCATTTGTCAAATGTTATCTTCTCTAATGCCGGACAATTTTATTTGTCAAGGGAAGTGTCCAGCTAGCTAGACTCTGCCCATATTTCATCTTGAAATATTTAGAACAGACTAGCACTGCCCAACAATACTTAAGTATTTTGATATTTAACTTTGATGTACGTCTCACACGAGACAATTTTAGTTATCGACTGTGGACAGCTTGCCCAAGTATCAACTATTTATACCTAAGGAGTAATTATACAAGATATGTTGCATAGTTATCCAATCTATAGGGGTTAAAAGTAAAGTCAATATTCTTTTGCCTTTTATTGATATACAATATATTTTCCCACAACACAGCACTAGGCGTAAAAAAAACCTGTGGTTCCGGTTCCTGACCCTATTATTTTTTCGACGTGATTGACTGTGCGACCTTATTTTCTCCAGGTGGTTGCGGGCTGCTCATGCAGCGTGCCAAAATGGCAACTGTTGTGACAATAATCGTTGAACCATGTAATCACATTAACTCTCGAAAAGGGCTTTTTGCATCGGTGTCTCACAACACAACGTTCACCAAGCTACTGGAAGACTACCATGGGTTTCCCACGATTGATTGTCAAATTGAAACAGCATAGGAAGAAAATTTGTGCTGGACATTATTGCCAATTGAAAATGCGAATTTGACACTACAATCACTTGTCGCCCTTAATAAATAAAATATTTGAAAATATCTTATGCGATTAAACAGTAAGAATCTACAAATAACATAGTAACGACACCCACGAGAAACGAACGAACTATCCAAGACGAACTATCCAACTTTGCGTAAACGGGTATGTAACGCGAGTACATAACTCTTACTTATATCTCATTTGTGTCGGTTTTCTTTGATTGTCAGAGGTTTATAACTAGCTAATATACCTTGAATAAATAATTACATCAAACTTTTCGACAAAACGCGAGAATTTTTCATCAAAAATTTTTGAAAATGACAAAATATGTTAGAAAACCTCCACAAATGAGATATAAGTTAGTTATAAACCTCGAGAGTCGGTTTATAACTGATATATTGCCCTCAGACGCTGCGCGTCCTAGGGGGCAATATATCAGTTATAAACCTCCTTCTCGGTTTAGAACTCTAACTTGTGTCCATTTCCATAATTAAGACGCGTAAACGGAACAACAACAAATTGCCTAAATTTGTCCTTAGTAAATATATATCTCTAGTGAGTTAATCATGTCGGGACTCTACTGAAAATCGCCAAGAAAAAAACAGCCAAAACCATTAATTTTTTTTTTTAAATTTCCGCCTATATGTGCATCAAAGTAGAATTTACATCAATGTTTGAACTGATTATATTATATTAGCCTCCTTTTGATTTTAATTTAAAATAGGTTTAACTCTTCCTAGCTTAGATTCAACAAGTGTTCTAAGTACTGCTGGCTTAAGATTATTCCAGCATTGATTAAAGACATCACAGGTTGTCTTTACTGTGGGATCATGTTTCAGTTTCTCTCATTTCAAATGATCCCATAAATTCTCAATAGGATTTAGGTCCTTCAGAGATTGAGGTGGAAAATCCATAACAACCAGATTGTACCTTTCTCTTGCTTCCTTCTTAAATAATTTTTACACATGTGAGAAGTGTGTTTCAGATCATTATCCAGTCACAAGACAAATCCCTTCCCACACAGCCTTGTCAACCTTAAGATGGCATGGTTTGTCTTTAAAGGATGGAATGACATTTTTGTTTCATAAAAAATATTTGGTGATTAGGGAGTAAAAGAAAGGCAATTTTCCCTAACACTCCCTACTTTGATATTTAACTCTGGTGTACATGTCTCGCGCAAGACAATTTTACTTATCGACTGTGGACTGTTTGCCCAAATATCACCTAGCTATTAATACCTAAGGAGTAATTATACAAGATATGTTGGATAGTTATATCCAATCTATAGGTTATATCCAATCCAGTAGGATAGATAAATATCCAGCCAAATTGATTCATGGTATTATTCAAATATAAGGTTCAGGTCTCACTTACTTTAGGTTAAGTAAAACCCAACCTCTTGACACAAACCTTAACCCCGATCGCTTTCCACCCACAACAAAATTTATATTTAGTGTCCAATAAAATGTCCCAGGAGAAATTTAAATTTCACACAATGACAACAACAATCTAATTATAGTTGTGATCACTATAACATATATCAACAACAATAGTACAATCTAGTCAGCACCAACCAATCAAATGACAGATTAAAAAATCTTTTGTCTCATACACCAATCAGATTTACAACCGAAATACAATTCCTCAACAATTTGATAAGTTCCTTAAAAAGTTCCTAACTTCCTGTTTCATTGAGTAATCAGATTGCTCAAAAATAAAATATAAAATCTGATTGGTCAATGAAACTGTAAGTTATCAAATTTTTGAAGAATTGTTCAGAGGAACTCTAAATAACTCTTCGAAGCTAGGAAATGAATTAATCAACATTTTTCGGAACGCTTCTATTGGCAAGATTTTTTTTTTAATGTATTTTCCCCTATGTACAGCTTTGTTAATATTTACAAATATTTTCTAATAATATTGGGCTAGGGACCTACTAGAAACCCTAACAGGCTTTTTAATTTAGGTCCCTAGTTACAGTTCATTGTTATCTATTAATTAATATATTTACAGTAAAATCAGAAAAACAATTATCTTAGAGTGTATTATTTACAAAAGGAAGGAGAGAACTATAAAGCAAAATAATTACAGTACAAAAATACGTCACATATAAAGGCATATTGCAGACCTCTCAACTCTCACGCATTCGGCGCGAGTCTCACGCAATTCGCTTCACTCTCACGCCACGTTTTGTAAATCTCACACATTTGGCAGTTTCATAGTATTTTTTTCAATGGGAATATATGATCATGTGTTATTGTTCCTGCATATACAGCCCAACATTTTGGCTTTTGCCCGCAACTTGGATACAAACAGTGATAGTACGCATATGGTAAATACGGCGGACAAAAGGCACAATCAATCGGAGCAGAATTCTATATGTAAATTATCAAAGGCAAATTAAAGCTCATTACTGTATGTCACAGAAATACAGTTATTATAACTAAAGTGCCTTGTCTTAAAAAGGACGTTATGAAGCAATGACGTATTTCATTAAAAAACACCAACTCTCATAATGTACGAAATGCCATTTCAGACCCCCGGACTTTTACAAAGGTGTCATCCACATCCCCAATCTCACTCTTAACTTCTCTGCAAAGTTGAGAGGTCTGATATTGACACTAGTATTTATCACTATATAATATGTAAGTAGATATGTAAGTATACAGGGTGTCCCAGAAAAAACGAAAACTATTGAAATCAACCAATAACAATTTAATTGTTAGAATTTGAATGCCTTAGCACTCTGTTGGTTCCCACGAGTGGATAAATGATTGACATAACTAAATTTTATGCATAAAGAAAACTATTTAAGAAGCTCCTTTAAATTCCCAAGAGCAGAAAATCGCACACTTTACAATGAGATATGTTCTCAACTAAATTTTAATAAATGCACCTTGTCAATATTTTACGCATCATTACGTTCAGCTTTTTGGTAGGGCATTCAATTTTAACAATAAGTGATTTCAATAGTTTTCGTTTTTTTGGGGACACCCTGTATATGGTAATATATAGTTTATTATTATGCAAACAGCTTATTATATTTATTATATTAATAAAATAATGTTATCACATGAACAAATTTCATGTGTGAGGTGGTGATGTGCTCCATGCATGGTACACTAAAGTATTTATTTCAGAAACTATAGTTTTTCAACTAAAATAGTATAGTTTTTTCCAACTATAGTTTTTGACAAAACTATAGTTTCTAGCCAAAACTACAGTTTTTAGCCAAAACTCTAGTTCCTATAATTACTATAGTTTTTAATTACTATAGTTTCCATAACTATAGTTTTTGTTCCAAAATACTACAGTTTTTAAAACTATAGTTTTTGGCTTGAAAAACTATAGTTTATTTTTGTAAGGGGTGGCATGTCAATCTGGCAGTTTTTAAAGGTATTTTGGTAAAAAATGCAGTGTAAATTTTAAACTGATGTGTGCGTCTTTCCTTAAAAAATCAGCTATTTGCATGCTAATTAATGCCTTGCCTAATTTGCATATGTCAGCAATATGCAAATTAGGTAAAGGCATTAAGCATGTGAAAGGCTAATTTTTTAGAGAAAAATGAATAGTTAAGAGGGCTTAAACTAAAGCAAATTGTCTGAAATTTTGTACAGTAATTAAAAACCCAACAATTTTTCCATATGATTAAAGCTTTTAAATTTTTTCTTAGTTAGTTGGAAAAGACCCCCCCTTGGTTTACCCTCACCACAGAAACAAAGACATCAGGATTTTCAGAGATCAACGATTCAGAAACTTGGAGAATTGTTGGAAAAAATTGTCCAACCATTCATTAACGTATAGTACAGCATCAGGCATTTGACCACCCGTTGCATGCTATAACTAAATTAAAAGGTATTTGTGGTGTTATTCTGAGTGTATATCCACATATTTAAAAAAAAAAAAATTCATATTACTAGAATACATTGGTATCGAAGGAACTAGATTCTGTTCCGAAATATCACTTACTCGAACCGTCCTGACCGCGTAGCTCAGTTGGAAGAGCATTGGGCTAGTATTCCAAAGGTCGTAGGTTCGAATCCCACCGTGGCCGGGCATATTTTTCAAGCTCGCCCGGTGTGGATATACACTCAGAGTAACACCACAAATATCATAATCACCTGAGTACACTACACCAACACAGAAAAAAAAAAAAAAAAATTAAATTAAAAGGTTTCAAAATAGCAAGTTTGAATATAAATAGTCTGCTAAACACATAGACGAGCATGTACTTCTAACAAATTCTTCCATAGATGAATAAAAATGGATAAAAAATTGATAATGAAATTAATATAGCTGGATATATTGTCCGCAATGTTCGAAATAGATCTGGGGGTGGCGTTGCCCTAGATATCAGAGATACTATATCTTTCTCTGAAAGGAAAGATCTAGTTCTAGAACCCCTAGAAATTATATGTAATGTATTGAAGTACGTAGGCCATATTAAGTGGCTTTTTTAATAAGTGCTTGGTATAGGCCACCTTATTCCAATAATGATGCTTTTAATTAATGAACTTGATTTACTTTTGTGTAAGTGCGACCTTGAAAATAAAGAATTGATGATTGTTGGAGATATAAACTGTGTGTGACTTTGCTAAGGCAGTGCCAGATTCCCATACGCGGAGACTCCAACTGTCATGCTATCTATACAAATTAGATCAGTTAATTATTGAGCCAACAAAGGTCACCAGGAGGTTGGCAACTTTAATCGACCTGCATATTTTAACAAACAAACCAGAAAATATATCGAATTCTGGTGTGATCCATCTTGAAATATCAGACCATAGTATGACTTTCGCAGTTAAAAGTACAACAGTACCAAAATCTAGGCACACTACTAGATCTGTGACTATAAAAATTTTGTTGAAAGTAATTTTATAAAAGAAATATTGCAAGTCCCTTGGGATATTGCATGCCAATTTGACGATCCTAATGTATGTTGGCAAGTTTGGAAATCCCTTTTCCTTGAGATACTTGATGGGCATGTGCCTATTCGGTGTAAGAGAACAAAGGTACCTCAGTGCCTCATAAAAAGCAAGCAATGAAACATACTTCTTCGGCACATATATGCATAATTGAAAAATGCTATTGGAGAACAGTTGGTAAAATGTAATTACAAAATGCTTCAATTATTTAAAAATATGTCTCCTACGTAAATAGGTTGCCATAAGTCTATTTTACAAAACGCCACATCATCGATGGTCACAACAGATTATTGCCACAATGCATGCATGTTTAACAATTGTCAACTGTATTTAACCTGCATTCAACCGCATGACTTTGGCTGTCATGGACGACGGTCACAATTCTGTGACCTCCAATTTTACAAATTATCAAAGCCGTGTACACATTACTGTTCATGAAAACTAAATGACTAAAGTTTCTATATCAAGAAGGAGAAGATCTCTTCTGGGGGGGGGGGGGGGGGGGGGGGGCATGCAAGTAAAGAAACTAGAAAGTTTGAAATATATTGATCAGATTAAAGCTTAATACTGGTCATTAAAATACACTGTGACAGGGACTGTTAATATGGATGTCAGACAGTTCAACCCACTTACTGTAAACTTTAAATAGTTTTGTCATCACCTGTTTAACCCATTGAGTGGCAGGCTGGCAGCACTAATGCACTATCCCCTTGATGATTAAAATCCTCTGGTGTTAGACTTAACCCATTGAGTCACATTGCGCCGTGATGCGCCCAACTTTATTATTTTACTCTGTCTAATGCCAGATGATTTTACTCATCAAAGAGAGAGAGAGCCGGTGCTTAATGCCAGATTAATTAATTAATACAGATTGGTTTCATTAAAGCCCCGTTTACACAAGCAAATTTTATTTGACAAATTTCATGTGATCAAAAGCTAGCATGCTAGCTTTTGTTCAAATGCATTTGTCACAATAAATTTGTCACAAATTTATCATCCACACTGCACACAAGCAATATGAAATTTGTCAAATAAAACAAAATATTTGCGAAGAAAATAAGAAATTTATGTAATGTGATTTATCAGAGTAAAATCGTCTTATCTAAGGTGCTTGTATAAGCAAGAACTAGACATGGCGAAGTAGGTGTTAAGCCGTTACAAAGATTAAAACTCTTAATATTATTAGCTTGGCGCCATACTTAAAAATAGAGCGCGAAAAGCTTGTAAGGGAGTGAGAGGTGTGGTTGATATCATTATAAAATGGATAGCTACGCAAAGCAAGTATCATTCGACTACAACTGTACTGGTGAACAGATCAACATTAAATCTCAATAAATTCACTTTCTAGTCTCTATATCAGGTGAGATTAATTATATATTTTCTTAGTTATATATAGCTAACAATTTTTTCTTTGATAATAATCACCAATGGCACTCCCAAAAGTTTTAGTTCTAGGTCATTCATTTGTACGTCGACTTAAGACTGACCTGGAATATCGGTCCGACTTACGTATGTCCCGAACATTTAAACTTGAAGGGCCGCTCGAGTATATTTACACGGTATTGGCGGCCGCACAGTACAAAAATTACGGCATCATGACCTAGCTGTAGTTTCACGCCATTCTCCTGATATTGTGGTGCTAGAAATTGGCACTAACGATTTATCCTCGTTACCACCCAAGGTGGTAGGCTCACAGATCGAGGAGCTAGTCGTTCTGTTGCGTGAAACGTATAAGGTTAAGGTGGTATGTGTCTGCCTGGTTACTCCACGTTGGCGTAATTGGCATTTCAACAAAACACGCCTTGTTCTGAATAACTACCTAACGGTGGTATTGGAACATATGCCTAAGGTATTTTTATGGCTACATCGGGGTTTTTCGCAACCATCTGTGACACCTTTTCTTCGCGACGGAGTACACTTCAATAAAATAGGGCAATACAATTTGTACTGCAGTTATAGGGGTGCCATTCTCAACGCTATCACCATGTTGTAGTTCCTAATCTCCACGTTACATGATGTATTCACGTTTTATTTGTTGTTAATTCCCTCCATAATGGGGGCAATATATTTGTGTTCAAAATAAAACTTTTCGTCTTTTTGTACGTCTAAAAGTGTACGAAAGGTTAATAGCCACATGTGTGGTTTTGTTTTTGTTCTCACGTGAATTGTGAGTCATTTGTTGGCCATAGGATGAGTGGTGCGGCGATCAATTACGATCTGCCATGCTCATTCCTGCCGACGTTTTTAATAGGAATGTTACGATAATTTTAAGAGTTTTTATGACAGTTTGCTATATATGCGTTGCTGCTTCCTAATTCATACCATTTGGAAACTTCACAATTTCATAGTATGCTTTTATTCTACATCACGCTAAGTTTTTCTGTTTTTGATAATTCATCATCATGATGAATATATTTCTGCCTTTTCAAGTTTTATTTTCTAGAATGCCTCCCATCCGTCGCTCAAAGCGTGTTGCCACTCCCACCGGACCACAGAACTCTGTGCAAGGCCAACCAGTTGCAGCTCGTCCTGCTCTACGCTCGCGGACTGCACGTGGGATGTCTCGTTCTGCTCTTTCTCGGGGTGCTGATTCTTTACCATCAACATCACCTGCGGCTACAACAATTGCGTCGCCTGCATCGATAGTAAGCCAACCGTCCTTGTCTGCCGAGCTGATCTCGACCTTGGTTTCGTCAGTGACAACTGCAGTTACCCAACAGCTATCAGCGCTTCTACCAACAACTGCAGCGACGCCAATCGTTCCTCATGAGGAGGGTGCTTCTTCTTCGACACACGCTGAAAACCTGGTCAACGATGCCATTGCGTCAACACACTCCAGTCTGTCAGGTCAGCCACTTCCTTTTACTATTCCTAACTCTACGGAATTGTTTTCTCAACAACCTTTTCATTCTACCAGCCTGCCGCTGGATGCTCGGGTTCCCGAAAAAATAAAAGTAAAAATTTGGAATGAGGAGTTTGTGGATTTCGGTAGTTTACTTAGCAATCCCGACCCGACAACCCGTTACGAGATTAATATTCGGCCTTCTGAAATGGGTCAGCCTGCGTCTCTTGTCTTGGAGCCGACCGCCAAATCAAAACGTATAAAAACCATTAGTGATTGGCTTCGCGCTTTTCATATATTTGTTTCAATTTACACACAAAAGTCCCCTCATCGCGAAGATGAGGCACCCTCCTCATGAGGAACGATTGGCGTCGCTGCAGTTGTTGAGGAGGGTGCTTCTTCTGGATAATTTACACACATGAGGAGGGTGCTTCTTCTGGATAATTTACACACAAAAGTCCCCTTCATGAGGAGGGTCTCCTTCATTTACACTCAAAAGTCCCCATTCATTTTCATGGTGCTGAACAAGCATTTGAAGCACATAATTTGCGGTTGGCTTTAGACAATCCAGATGCGGTTGACTCAAAATTAGATAAAGAATTAGAGGCAGGCCGGCTTGCCGGCCCCTTTTCTACGCCACCATTGGCAAATTTTCGTGTTTCGCCTCTGGGCTTGGTTCCGAAAAAACAACCCGGCGAATTTCGCATAATTCATCATTTGTCTTTTCCTAAGGGAACATCGATTAACGATGGCATACCTGACATTGAAACATCGGTTCGGTATGCAAATGTTGACGATGCAATTCGACTTATAAAACGAGCAGGTCCGGGTTGTTTTCTCGCAAAAACTGATATAAAAAATGCTTTTCGAATAATACCTATCAATCCAGCTGATTACCATCTTTTGGGCATAAAATGGCGCAACCGTTATTATTATGACCACGCAATGCCTATGGGCTGCTGGAGTTCCTGTCGCACTTTCGAAGCGTTTAGCACGGCGATTGAATGGATTGCTCAGAAAAAACTCGGAATCGACAAACTCCTTCATTTACTAGACGATTTTCTTATTATTTCATCTTCGTATTGTGTTTGTAAAGCCCATTTAGAGTTATTTATTTCCCTTTGTGAGTTTCTCGGCATTCCCATAGCACCAGACAAAACATTGGGCCCCTCGACGACACTTACGTTCGCTGGTATTGAATTGGATTCACTTAAATGTGAGGCTTGTTTGCCTCGCGAAAAAATCGAGAAGTGCATCCAATCCATTGCCAGTTTTTTGAGTCGCAAAAAAGTTACTCTTAGAGAGCTTCAGTCTTTGTTTGGCCTACTAAATTTTGCTTGTTCTGTTGTTGTCCCAGGCCGCGCGTTTTTAAGACGATTAATAGATTTAACACGCGGCGTCTCTCGTCCCCATTTTTTCATTCGGCTGACGCGTAATGTCAAAAATGATCTTCGCGTGTGGCAGGAATTTTTATCTTCTTTTAATGGCAAATCCCTATTTTTGGACGATCACTGGAGCAACAACCATAAACTTAACTTATATACGGACGCATCTGGCGCTATTGGTTTTGGTGCTATATTCGGCCTTGACTGGTGCTATGGAAAATGGCCGGCGACTTGGCGGAATTATAATATTGCCATACTTGAATTTTATCCGATTGTACTCAGTTTATATTTGTGGGGTCACAAAATGCACAATCAGTGTATAATCTTTTTCACTGACAACGAAGCTCTGGTTTCTGTTATCAACAAACAGACTTCAAAAGATTCCGGTCTTATGACATTAGTACGTAAAATGGTATTAATATGTTTGGAACATAATATATTATTTAGAGCGAAACATATAGATGGTAGCAGAAACATACTAGCTGATAGTTTATCTCGATTTCAGATCCAAAAATTTCTACAATTGGCACCGGCTTACATGCATCGATTTCCAACGCACATTCCATCTCACCTGCAGCCCGGAAGCTGGCCAATATAGTTGGCGATTTGGCTCAATCCAGCTTTCAACCATCTTCGATTCCAACGTATAGGCGGGCATGGGCACTTTTTACACAATTCCATCTAAATGTTTTTCATGTGGGCTCAGTAGCTTTGCCTTTGTCGCCCTCCGTCTTGGCACTTTTTATTGCTTATTTATTTGACCTCAACTACGCTCCATCAACAGTTAACACATATGTGTCTGCTATTGGTTATTCTCATCGATTGTCAAATTTACCAGATCCGACGAGAGTTTTTTACATTGTGCAAATACTTAAGGGGTATGGAAAAAAGGGCTTCCGTTTAGACAGTCGGTTGCCTATAACACTACCAATTCTCAACCGCATTATTGAGGCTTCGCCTCACATTTCTGGTTCTCACTATCAGATATGTCAATTTAAAGCTATGTGCTCATTAGCATTTTTTGCTTTTCTGCGGATTGGAGAAATAACGATCACATCATCACATAACCAACCCCTACAAATACATCAGCTCTCGCGGATATATGACACAAATAACCATGTGGCAGGCCTGAAGTTAACATTTCAAAATTTTAAGCATAATTACAACCAGCGGCCTTTTACTTTAGAAATTTATCGGCAAAACACAGCTTGCCCCGTGCAATTGATCCTTGACTATCTGGTTTTGCGAGGCACTCAGCCGGGGGCTATTTTAGTTTCACACCTCGGTACTCCAGTATCGCGTGACGAATTCGCCACTCAACTTAAAAGGGCTTTTCGTCATTGCGGTTTGGATACCTCAAAATATAAGTCACATTCTTTTCGGATTGGTGCAGCTTCCCACGCTGCAGAAAATGGTTATTCTGATGCGCAAATCCGTGCGTTGGGGCGTTGGAAATCGAACGCGTTTCTAAAATACTTGCGAATTTCTACCATATCGACATAACCCCCATTTCACCTTAATTTCTGAGCATAAAACATGCGGGGTGTTTTATCCTCAATTTTATCTGAAATTTCCCATGCATGATTTTGAGCGTGATTAGCAAGGGCAATCATGCAATCTGTCAGCGCCCTTTGGTTGCATAACTCGCATTGCACCGATATGTCATCAGCAAGGGCGATGTCATATATTCTCTTACGTAGGGCGTATTGTGCAATTGACCTGGGTGTTTTACTTCGCAATTTTATCTGCCTGGTAAGTAAGGACAGACAAGGCAATCCAATATTTAATTCAATGAAGGACTGGTGTGGCAATATTGTATCCGTCAAAAACTTGGGCTTAGGCAAAGTAACATTGCATGACAAAATTTCGCCTGCCGTAGTCTGCAAGGGCGGCTACATTTCTACTTTTTGCTGATATAAGCTACTTGGTTGCCTTCGTGGCCCATAAATCTCGCCGGATGAGCGTGCATTCTTTTTCCTTGGGGTGGGGTTTCATCTCCGTTTTGCTTCGATGATTTGGCGATAATCTGCCTCCACCCTTTTCTGGGCAAAATTGTTAATATTTTCATACATATATATTATTAATTATTGTTTTATTAATTTCAATAAATCGGCTAGGAGAAAGGTTACTCCTAGCCAAATTATCCCAAATTGTTTTATTCTTTGCTATTTAACATATACCCAGAAAACAAAGCTGCGGAAAAAGAAAGCCTGCATTATTTAGTGGCTACATTGGCAGTAGGTGGTTTGTAATAAGGTGAATCACATTGCATAAAACAAAATATTTGCGAAGAAAATAAGGAATTTATGTAATGTGATTTATCAGAGTAAAATCGTCTTATCTAAGGTGCTTGTATAAGCAAGAACTAGACATGGCGAAGTAGGTGTTAAGCCGTTACAAAGAGTAGAACTCTTAATATTATTAGCTTGGCGCCATACTTAAAAATAGAGCGCGAAAAGCTTGTAAGGGGGTGAGAGGTGTGGTTGATATCATTATAAAATGGATAGCTACGCAAAGCAAGTATCATTCGACTACAACTGTACTGGTGAACAGATCAACATTAAATCTCAACCCACCTTCTCCCCAGACCTCCTCTCAGCTTAATTAACACTGACTATATATAACACTATCCAGTATTAATACGAACTTGATCTTGTAACTCAGAGTAAATATGTGTACATACTCTATCTCAGTTCATGACAATCAGATGGGCGATAATCTGCCTCCACCCTTTTCTGGGCAAAATTGTTAATATTTTCATACATATATATTATTAATTATTGTTTTATTAATTTCAATAAATCGGCTAGGAGAAAGGTTACTCCTAGCCAAATTATCCCAATTGTTTTATTCTTTGCTATTTAACATATACCCAGAAAAAAAAGCTGTGGAAAAAGAATGCCTGCATTATTCAGTGGCTACATTGGCGGTAGGTGGTTTGTAATAAGGTGAATCACATTGCATAAAACAGTGTTTTAATAGGAATAAATTTATATGAAAATCTCTACTAAAAATGTCTTGCTCATGTTCTACTTTAAATTTCAACTTGAGATTTTTTGATCATCTATACATGATTATCACAAATTGGTATCTTTGTTCTCCCCAGGAACCAGCTACAACAAACTTCTCACAAACTTCTCCACAATCCTTGTCTTAATTCTCAAGATACAATGTGTCTCCTCCACAATCCTTGTCCTTCAGAATCTTTGTCTCCATCATTTTCCTAATCAGAGCTTGAATCATTCATGTATTTAGCATCACCAGTAGCCTGTTCCACACCCAACAATTGGGTCAACTGCTGAATTTCATCAATCTTGTCCATGTCTGCAACTCTACCTTCTGCACCAATACTTTCAACATCACCAGGCATCTCTTCACCATGAATTTTAACCAAACACATAGGATTTAATGGCTGCTTAATGCAATTGCATAACAATGGCTCATCTAAATTCACCAGTGGTAGGTCATTCAGTATGTCCTCTAAAATATCCAGTTTGGGTGGTCAGACTGTTACAGAAGTTGGTGATGGAATAATGTTAAACTGACCCACAACAGAACACAACATAAGTACCGGTACTACAGGTAAAAAAGATTTGATGCATTTATACAGGCACGTTGGAACAATAAAAAGGCAAGGGCACCTTTATAGACCTACAATTATGTGTTGACTTGCCAATGAAAGCCTGATTGTGCATGTTCCATTGACAATAGCTGTTCTGTGTTCTGGCAATAAAGTCTACTCAAGGAACTATAACTGCACAAACACACTTAATCAGGTCACATTCAAGTTCACACCTCATGACTTTGCCCAAAACTGGAGATATGATTTAGCAGGCAGAATTTCTATAACTCAAAGTGCACTTTTTTCCCCTTTGCCCCTCCTCCCTGCTTTTATATTAAAATAGATTTGACTCATTTGACATAAAGTCAAATACTTGTATGATTTCCGAGTATAAATGGCCCATTTTCCCACCAATTAAATCATAAATAATCGTACCTTAAGGTCACAACTAGAATAGATTTCTATCAATGAAGGACTATCGCATTCGGCGAACATATAATATGTGACCCTCCTTGGGAAAACATACGTTAACGTTTTGAAAAAACGGTCTAAAAAACCGTTCTGATACCGTTCAACATCCGTTAAAACGGAAAACACTAAACGTTTTAACGCTTTGGCTAACCGTTAAAACGTTTGCCTTCCCGTTAAAACGGCTTGGCCTATCCGTGAAAACGGTTTGGCCTTTCCGTGAAAATGGTTTGCCCTATCCGTGAAAACGGTTTGACCTATCCGTGAAAACGGTTTGACGTACCTGTGAAAACGGTTTGGTGTATCCGTGAAAACGGTCTGACATATCCGTGGAAAAGTTTTGATCATTCCGTTTAAACGGTTTGCTCTATCCGTCAAAACGGTTTTATTAAACAGATTGAAGGATAAATCAAACGGTAAATCATGCCGATCAAACCACAGAAATGTCTTGTTGGCATTGCTTTGCAGTACGAAACTTGACAGCATGCCCGCTGAAAACGTATTGAGAAACCTTAGCAGCGACTAGCATATTCGCATTAATTTACGCTACATCGCTGTTCATATATTAAAGCAAAGTTCTTTTATAGTTTACGATTTATCTTATTCCATCCGTTTTGAAACAAATATGCATCCTTTGGATTTTCATGCTACCTCAACAGTCAAGGGCACACAGGTTGTCACCATGCATATAATATAAGCACGTTTCCAAGCCCTTAATTTTCAAGCAACTTTTAATCAGTCACAATAGCTTGTGATTTAATTAACATCTCACAGATGAAACAGAACTATGGCCAGACGTTCTTAATTATAGTTCATAACTGAATATTTGTATGACAACTGCACATTTACATATATCTGAAGTGTAATGCTGCGAAAATGTTCCCATAATATAGCCTATACTGTATACTAATTAGTCATTGCAAATCATTGCGTGATATCAATTACAAATCAAAGTCATTGATGTTTGATGATATTGAAGAACATTACCTACACTACCCGTCACTGCCACGTATTGAACTGTTTGTTATAAATGCTGCATATAAAAATATGGTTCCTTCTCAGCGGTAATTTTAATAGACATGGATATAATTTAACACTATAATTATTATATACGCCACCATAATCAATGTAATTTACTTTTTGAAATTAAGAATCAAGAAAAAAATTGCCAACACATTCTACGCAAAATCTCTTACATAGATTATTATTGGTGACTATATGCATGGTGTTTTGTGTACTATACTATACTATACTTTTTAGGCCTGGCAAACTGTACATTGCGCAGGCGCGTTTACACTATAAAGACCTTACGTAAGTCTTAGGTCAGTTGTGTTATGTAAAAACACCGCCGCCAATCTTGGGTAATGAGTGACTGTCTACTTAATGGAGAACAGCTTGAATTTCTTTAGAGTGTTTGATTTTGTAATTTTTGTTAGCATGGAAATCGACAAAACTTGAAACGTTTTTAAACACGAAAGCGATCTTTCTTGTTTGCGCATATGCGCGTGCACCTTGACAAATGCGTGCTTCTTAACAGTGGTTGTAAAGAACGTTTTGTTTGGAACGCGGTCCGTAAAAGCCAGTAGTGACCAATTAAGCCCTGATCAGCTTTCATAACAATGTAATTACAAGCTTATGCATGAAAATAGCCAGAGACGTACAATAGAAAATAACGCAAGTTGGAAAAAAAGAACATGAACTGCGAGCTGGTTACATAGTCGGGGTTTGGCAATCACAGTTTGAGCAACGCTATAACTAGCCTAGAACTAAAATGCATTAACTGTGTTGACGAAACCTTTGACAACAATCTCGTTCCCCGAGCCTGCGATCCTTGGGAAGGAAACGAAGGCTCTGGGATAATCCATCTCAGACATACAGAAAACTGTATGTCGACCGAACTGCGCATGCGTTGCCAAAAGCAAAACAAATTGTTTGAAATATTTTATTGTTTCGTCTACAAAATGATTATTTTTTCGGGGTTTTGGTGGAAATGTTGATGTTCTTCATAGTGGGATACAAAAGGTGTGTTAGCGACTGAATAAGGAAAATATTGCGTGTGAAACAGGGTCAGTATAGAGCCGGCAGGAGCCGCGAAGAGTGCTGTTGTCGAAGAAAAATGTCACAATTAATTGTAATCTTGTCCATTCACCTCTGTGTCAGTTTGAAAAAGCTTTAAATGTAGAGACATTTGTGGTTCCTCCAGCATAATTTAGCCGTTTAACGCTATTATGTTTCTAATGGTTGAAAGAGCGCGTGAAAGGGCAATTTTCAAGAACAAAAACAATTACAATGTACTGTGTATTAATTGCTACTGTAGTATTAAAATACCTGAAGAGAGTCTCAATTCTAATATTAAGTCGTTTATAAACCTTGATAATATTAAAGTTTTCAGAAGATTTGTATATCAGAGGAATATTAAAAGGAATTTAGACTATAAAACATATCATTAAAAATATGAATATAGTGAATTCCATGTTTGTATTGTGTTATCATCTCTAGAAATTAACAATTTATAAACCAAATTCTTGTTATATTTTTTAACTGCCCTTATAGCTTTCCTTTAATATTTGCAAGCAGTTTAGTAGGTTAGGGATGCAACAGCACTTTTCAAATTATTGAATTGTAACCAAATTTTGTGTCTGGATAGGAATTTTACTATTAATGATTTACAGTTTGTAATGATAGTTGGAGCAAGTTAAGCTGCAATGTGCCTCAGTTTGCCCTACTTTGTTATTTTAAGCTGTTTAATGCCAGAATTTTTTCTCGTCAAGGGGAAAGTATTGGACTTTGATTTTGGTATTTGAATGGGTTAACCAGTCCATCTGCATGTCTACCAGCTATCTTTGGTTAATTATCTCATTAGGTCATTAAGCCACAATGCTCTTAGTGCACCTTTTTTGTTATTTCACTGTACTTCTGGACAATATTTCTCACCAATGGCCAGAAATGTACTTGACTTCATGTTGATTACTAGCATTAATTAATTAACTACTGTACTAAATAGGACATTCAAGGTTGGAGATGTAATAGCAATAGAGGTTGCTATCATTGTAGCATTCAGGGGCGTCGCTGGCCCAAATTGTCAGGCATTTGGCAATTTATTGTATCGGCAATCAGGAAATTGTTTTTGTGGCCAGCATGATTTGAATTGGATAGGAATGGAAAAAACTGAGTTTTTGTTGCCCCTTCTCAGAGTAGGTATGTGTTGTTTTATAGTGTAAATAACAAGTTTTGATATTGCAATCAAACTGACAGGGTAGTTGTCATGACCGTGGTAATAAAAATATTTCTATGGCTTGGCATTTACATTGGGCAATTTTTTATCATTCATCACAAAATTATACCTGCACCCTAGGTGGTTCCCTGCAGGGGGTCATAACAGGGGGAAGCTGATGAAAATGAATTCTGGTATAACTTAGTGGCTGATCACTATCATTTAATATTTTTGTGAATAGAACATTTCTTTAAAAAAGTATATGAATTTATTAAAAATATTTATATGGTTTCCCAATCTGGAATTCATACTTAGATGAAAGGTTTATGATGTTTTCTTGGACAGAATCCAATTAATACAACCTCGTACAGAGTGCAGGGCTTCTTTGAATTACTGTGTGGACAAGATTAATAAAGGGATTGCCAATTTGGCATATTGTACTACTCAATGAATTTAAATTATTAATAGATACTTTCTGCTACAGTTAGCTGTAATATTATACTGTATATTATTGTGTTTCATATGACGTCATAAATTTGACGGGGGGTCAACTCTAAATCGAGACACAGTCATCAGAGTGAATTAATTTTTCACTGTATGTGTTGGCCTTGTGTTTGGTGGAAAATACATGCAATTTCATATCATTTGCTCACTCCAGTACAGCATAAGCATCAATACATTTTAGGTTGACCCCACGTCAGAACATGCAAAATGCCTAGTAAAACCCAAGAATTCATTGTATGTATTAGGTGTATGCAAACTGGAATACAAGTTAATATCACTGCCTGCGAAATTGTGGTTTATTTAGAGAATAAAGGTTTTTTGAACACTTCTATAAATAAATTATAACAACAAAAGATTCATATGCATGTACCCATATAGGGAAAGGTTACATGCTACAAGTTAAAATGAGTACTACATACTCCTGCACTTGGAAAGGTTACAGTACAGTATATACATTAAATAATAAAATATAAATCCCAAGATTGGATTTATTGAAACTAGTCATTAGCTAGTTCTTCGCAATTAAATAACACAAAGACAAATTAATAAAAGTTATTAACCATTTCTGACACAAATAGTATTTACAAAATATAGCACATATTTGATATTATAGTCAAATAGTACAGTGTACTGACAGTACTGTATACTATGTATAGATTAAAACTACAGAAAACCTGTACAACACAAATATGAGTAAAGTTTTCACGCTCCATTTAACTGTTGTGATATTATACGCATTAAGTACGTTTCTTTGCATTTCCTTTGTAGTATTAGTATATAGCACAGCTCTGAAACACCAAAACAATATTCGTACACTCCTAAACGGCCGCCATGTTGTATGTAAAAATATACGGTTAAAAATTAATTTTTGCAAAATTGCAACATTCCATTGTATACCAGCAACCAATCATATTCATTTCTGAGATGGATTATCCCAGAGCCTTCGTTTCCTTCCCAAGGATCGCAGGCTCGGGGAACGAGATTGCTTTGACAAGTGCTATTGTCTCAGTGAGTCAATTATAGCCTATGGTTCAGTATGCCTTTTTTGATATTGTGAACACATTCATGTGCAAAACTGGGCGTCCATACGGATGCTTAATATACGTATTGGTGATTTCCTCTATACTATCCTGTTAAGCACGGCTAATATTTTCTAATAATTCATAATTCGCTCTAGCCTGTGTTCCAGTCCACTACACAACGGTGTAGTGGACTGGAACACAGGCTAAATTCGCTCCTGAATATTAGGCAATGAAGAGGTTAAAATAGATTTATCAGCGATGTTAAAGTTAAACAGGTTGAACGGTAATAAACAGCACTCAGCAAGGTATATTGGTATTTTGTAATATTGCAGATCATAATAACGACGATATGGCACTGAAAAATGTGAATGCACTCTTGAAAATGCACTCCTTAAATACTTTCCTTAAAATGCACAAAATCATGTGAATGCGAAACATGCACATATCATGTACCGGTCACTTGTCGTTCACGCTGTCGCTCATGCAGTACATAATACATATTCGTCAACAAATAGACACACATATATTATGTCAATTAATGAAGGCTTCTATGTAGGAAGCACGGTTTCGTTTAGATTTCCTATAAGTCGACTCGTGTTATTTAGCTTCGCGGTTGAGCTCAAATTTTTCAGATTAAAGTGCGAATTTTAGCAATGGGGGGTTGATTTTATCCGCTCACTCGTTTTACTCCTTAAAATGTGAGTCGACTCGTAGCAAGTCTAGGTGACTTCGTTTTAAGCACTCTAGACTCGACCAAAATGTTGGATAAGACCTACTCTCTTCTAAATAGCACGTGGTAGTTTGTGGTTTGTGCCTTGTCTCAACGGCGCACTAACAAATTTGGTAACGATTCGATCACAAATTCGTTTAACCCTAGGGCAAATCATTCACCTACTTTTGACATTTTCAATAAAAATATGCAGTGTTTGCCTCTGTTCAACAACACAATGCATGCATGTGCACAACAAACAAATAATCTTTCTGCTTTTACAGTAAATAATAAAATATAATATAAGCAAACGTGTTACTTGATGCAGAGACCAGATATAAATGAGAATATGTAAAAAAAATATAGACTATAAAAATGTCTGTACCAGTGTGGGTACGTAGTACCAATGTGAACTTGTTGTGTTGAGTGGTTATATTACTACCTGAAAAATAACAAGCAGAAACTCGACGTTTAATAATATAATAGTAATATAATATAACCAGTAATATAACCACTCAACACAACACTGAGTTCAAAAAATATAGAGACTATATCATACACAGTATCGGAATTTCAAATAATCTATGAAGTATAGGTAAAGTTGATTGACTTGATTCAGATATAAAACGCCTAATTACAAACAAATCAATCTGTCTGGAAAATAGTGTGTACCTATGACATGGATGTGCGTATTATTTTAGTGCGGATATAGCTGTATGCGCAGTACGCATACTGCATGTCACTCAGTTGGTTACTTGATGCACAGCTGGCATCCTCTTGTCGCCAATTTAAATTAAACATGAAACGATTAAGAAGAAGAGTGCATGCATGTTTTTCTATTGATTATCAAAATTCGCTTAAAATAAAATTACATGAGCAAAGCGGAAAATACAATACATTTACAAGAAGTGGGCTAGAGGCCTACTATTAATAGAAACATGTGGCTTTTAATATTTGCTTCCTTGTATATATTTGTAATCACAAAATATTATACATTTAGTTCCATAGTTATAAGGTTTAGGCTGGCCTTCCTTATATATTCACATAGGCATTCATTAAGCAGCCTAGCATTAATGACTAGCTATAGAGCATCAATATGACTGAAATAAATAATATGAAGTGTGATGTTGCCTTATTGGCATCTTTTCATGTTATGCAGTGTCGTGCAGCGTGATAGGAAACAACTGCATTACACGTCTTAAAAAGTGACATTAATTAGGGGTTAGGATAAAACGCGGATACGGACGGACGGATGGATGGCGGATGGACGGACGGATGAGTGGCGGACGGACGGACGGACGGATGGCTTCCAAAAAACGTTTTTCAGCCTTTTTTAAGTCATATCCGCGTTTTATCCAAAAGGATAAAACGCGGATATGGTCCAAAAAACGTTTTTCAACCCTTTTTAAGTCATATCCGCGTTTTATCCAAAAGGATAAAACGCGGATATTGTCCAGAAAACGTTTTCAGCCCTTTTTAAGTCATATCCGCGTTTTATCCAAAAGGATAAAACGCGGATATGGTCCAGAAATCGTTTTTCAGCCTTTTTTGAGTCATATCCGCGTTTTATCCAAAAGGATAAAACGCGGATATGGTCCAAAAAACGTTTTTTAACCCTTTTTAAGTCATATACGCGTTTTATCCAAAAGGATAAAACGCGGATATGGTCCAGAAAACGTTTTTCAGCCTTTTTTTAGTCATATCCGCGTTTTATCCAGAAGGATAAAACGCGGATATGGTCCAAAAAACGTTTTTCAGCCCTTTTTAAGTCATATCCGCGTTTTATCCAAAAGGATAAAACGCGGATATGGTCCAGCAATCGTTTTTCAGCCTTTTTTGAGTCATATCCGCGTTTTATAACATACGTTTTTCAACCCTTTTTAAGTCATATCCGCGTTTTATCCAAAAGGATAAAACGCGGATATGGTCCAAAAAGCGTTTTTCGACCCTTTTTAAGTCATATCCGCGTTTTA